TATTAGAATAAAATGATTCGAAGTGGTCTGTATTCTGTCGAAACTGCCAGACGCGCATCGCGATTTCGATCTTTTTGGATCTCATCAGCACGTCGCAGGCAGCTCCGACAGAACACAGACCAACTTTTACCTGCTGTCTTAACAGCGCGTTTTATAAAATACAGATGGCGTTTACCGCGCCATTTGTGGTATTTTATGGTTAATTATGGTTTTAATATTATGAAGAGACACTTGCCTGGAGCTTGACCATCGTAAGACAGATGTGGAATGAGAAGAGTTTGGGCATCTACAATTACTATTTCGTCAGAAGAAATACCATGAACGCCACTTAATGGTTCGATCCTTTGTGGCCGAGGGAAGTCGAAATTAGATGGTATTTTTACATCACCAAAGTTGACCTGGAACAATGTGAACTTATGAGTAAGACCATAGTAAATAAACGGATTTTTATTTCGAATAGATTATTATAAGGCGTGTAAGGGTTGAATGTTCCTATAATTTTTAAAAAAAGTCACACCCATGTGTCGTCGTGAGTATCTCAAAGGAAGGTTTTTGGGGTAATTATTAAAATTTAGAATAAGAGGTTTCATAACACAAGCGAGGAAAAAAGTTGAATGTATTTTACGGTGGAGAAGTCTTATTGACTTTATCAATGTGTAAATTTATCGCTAAGGAGATCATTTTTATTCGAATGAAGATTTGCCTTGATTATATGCCTAAAACTGGTAAACGATAGCTTAGTAGTTAACCTGGACTATCAATTGTAAACCTGATCCTTTTACAAAGGACCTTGTAGAATACTTAATAATAATCGGTCGTCCTTCAGATTGGACTTCTTGGACTAGTAGAAAATTAACTTGATTAATTACTAGAAATCAATTTAGTTTTAAGATTACCGTGCGGAGGAAGAAGGTTCATTTGTTATCCGAAGAACAGGACTGAGATAAATCTCCAAATCAGCCTGTCTCGCTTTAAGCCATATTACCTACAATCTGTTGTTTATTTAATTACACTCGGATAGAAAATAAGACCTGTAGTTCGTAAGCTAATTATTAAAAGTTTTGCATTTGCAATCAGCAGATGAAGCATAATTTTAGTATNCTATTAAAAAATGAACTCAATTATATTCACATGGTGAAAATTCAATCCTTTAAAATTCTCGTTAAAAAAGTAGCGAATTCTTTATACTGATTATTACTATTGTTACGAAGTGTAAACATAATACAAAATAATTAGGTATATATGGATTAACGTGAAAGCGAAATTAATTAGAGAGTTTAAGTTTTAAGATCAATTACAAATTTACGTAGTTGTGATTTTCTATTTTAATTTAAACTATTAAAAAATGAACTCAATTATATTCACATGGTGAAAATTCAATCCTTTAAAATTCTCGTTACAAAAGTAGCGAATTCTTTATACTGAAATTAAAATATAAATTAATTAATGTTACTGTAGAACTTTTTCGCCCTTTTTTATGGGTAAACAAATGATAATAGTAATAAATACCGTTCTAATATTATTTTTCGAATTTGGGTAGTTTTTTTAAATCGTATTGCAGCACTCAGCTCTTTGGCACCAAATGGCGGATCAGCCGTGGTTTTGGTGAATTCTGTCCATTCCGATTTAATATTTGGTTGCTCGTATCATAATCGGAACAAATAACAAGTACGGGGAGATAATTTTTCCACCTTGCATGATGTTTTGTTGCCCCTTAAAAATTTTTGAGTCGATGGAGTTTTATTGCGAAACCAGATACACATTATTTTTGGGGGAACTTACCAATATACGTTTGCCCATGTTAGGAATCGTTCGTCAAATATTTGCAACCTGTAAGTAGTATGAGAAGGGGTGAGATGCAATTCTTTATAAAGATCGCCCCAATTTAAAATGTGGGTGGTATTGTGATTTTTGCACGAGATTGTTATTTTATCATTTTTCGCCATCTTTATTCAAACCGCCACTTACATCTGATATTGATCAAGCCAAGACGTGGTTCGTTGTCGGGGTGAAAGAAAAATCGTTCCTGTCGGTCGTAAAAAATTTATTTATCGACTATTTACAACAATTCTAACTTATCGTAGAAAACTTAACATTTAAATAACACTCTTATCAAGTAAAAAAAAGTAAAATTTACTTTTCTGTTTTTATTTTACAAAAACTGGTAACTTACTAATGCAACTACAACTGCAGAAAACACGCTAGTTATGAATGATGCACTGCTCTTTACCCCCGACGAATTATTATTATTATTATTATTACTATTACGATTAAGGGTGGTATTTTTGGCCGATGCCATTTGTTCAGCCGTGTGTTCAGGTGTGTGATGTGCGTATCTTTTGTTTCGTTGAGGAACTAATTTTAATTTCGTGACCCCGGCATCACCGGTCCGGGGTGTTTCTAAACCCCTGTTCAAAGTTGCCTGTTGTGTTTTTGCGCCGAACGAATTAATTATTTTGGGGTCCAAAGGTGGTAGATCGCCTTTGAATGGGGCAAATTGAGGCCCAGACCTGAGAAGTTCGGCAGCTTTCGGATGTTTCGCCGATTTTAAAACTGTTTGTCCATTATCCACCCCTACGCTTGTCAGTGTTGAACCATGTATTTTTTTGCCGTCATAAGTGATAAAAATTGAGGAGGAGCGGTCGTCCGATCCCGGTCTCTTCCTTTCCCCATTGGGGGGTAAGTAATATGTTTTCGAGTTATCTGCCGATTGTGGCATGTTATCTTCGTAGGGAAGATATTGACCTAAGTTACTTTTTTGTCGTTTTTTCCTCACTTCAAAGGGTTTTACATTGCTTAAGCTATCGTCGTATCTGTGGTTTAAGAAGCTTTTGTGGGTCAAATTGGCAACGGACGAAGCTGGTATATCGAGGAATCCGATTTCTGATTCGTTTTCTATTTCTGGACCTTTAATGTCAGTTATAGTTTTAGTCCTTTCCGTCATGATCGGCATAAATCCTCTTTCGAAAACAATCGAACGGGGGTTGAACCCCGTGTTGACGGCGAACTCCAGGGTGGTAGTGTTCGGTTCTGATACACTCGTAGGAATGAAACGAACGTATTTGTTAACAGATTCTTCAGCTGATGGAGTCTCAGTGGTTTTGCGTAACGATTCCTGCAGTTTTGAGTATTTTGATAATAGGATGTCGTCAATCATTTTTTCGGTGGATGGCTGAATTGGTGATAATTCCACGGCAGGTTCCTTCGCCTTAGTCATGAATAGCGTGAGTTCTCTTTCAGGTTTTGATTTACTTCGTGGGAAATTCATGTTAGAGGGGATTGGCCTTTTGTGTATTTTAAGAACTGGCCTTTTGCTAATAGTGTTTTGCCTTTGCTCGGACATTAGCATGTCCTTTGGATGTTTGATGACCTTTTTCACTACGTGTGACCTTTTCCTGTATTGAGAGCCGCCCTTCGGCCTGCTTATTAAATGCAGTCGATTTTTCGAAGGAATCGAATAATATGGTTTCGTCATTGCCGGGTGCTGCCTGCTGCGTGAATTATTATTTGCTAGTATGTCTAATTTAAAATGAGATTTGTTATATCTAACGGGCGGATTTGCGGACTCCATGGAAGGAGTGGGTCTGGGAGACATACGATTAGGGATTTCGAAAGCTGCGTAAAAAAGAGGTTTGGTGATGATTTCGCTATTCAATGTATTTGCATGAGATACGTACATTGGCTGAGTTTGGGTTGTATCGAAAAGGGGTTGAGATTCTTCTGTAATATTTTTGTGATTATCAAGAGCGTAGTTCTTTTTCCTGTAGGATTCGATTTTAGATCCGGTCGGTAATTTGACCACGGTTGCCACCCTGTAAGAAGCATCTGTTTCTAAATCGTCTTCCCCGGCTTCTTTGAAACCTGGCGGTGGAGGAAGTACGGCCGGATGAAACTCACTCCCTTGAGATAATTCATCACATGAGTCTAAGACGTTTATTTTCCATCCCAGGTACCTGTGGGAGAAGCACTAAAAACAGAAGGAATTATTTCCGCTTCAGTGGTCGCTTACGTCCTAGTTTTATGCTTAACGATATTAATAAAATATCTAATAATTACCTGGTAATAAACGGTATCGGGAGTCATTTTTGTCGGGGTCCATTGGACGAAGCCTGGTTCGCCTTGTTCACATTTAAGTTCGAGATTCCGTTGGAACGCACCGAAAGATGGATAATCGTCAGAATCCAGATCGCCCTTGTATGTCCAATGACATAGCCTTCCAGTTCCGGTCGGTATAACCGTTCCATTGTCTAACTGAGCTGCTCCAGCGAAAATATGTACCGTCTGTAACAAAATAGAAGTATCGGTTTTTAAGACTTCCTTCGAGTTTGCATGGTACACTGTACCTTTCGTTCCTCTGCAGTTTTGTAAGCATACCCTCCTATAGGATCGTCAGTAATGTAGAAGGGATGATATTTGGCATTAAAGTTTTCATCATCACCTCCCTCTGTCACGAAAGTGTACGTTTTCCCTCTGACGACGTTAATTTCTGGAATCAGGAGACCGTTGATGTACCATGCGATACCCCAACCAACGTGACCTGTTAAGAGAAAATTGCAATAGAATATGGTTGTTAGTAAAATAACTTGACTAATAATTCACCAGTTATTGCTGAGTATCCTTTCCTGCCTCCTGCTGGTCCCATTTGAGCGTAGAAAACACCATCTTCCGGTTCGTAACACTGAATTTGTGGAATGGTCCATGGGACAATTTTCTCTAAAGATACTGGAGCAGGTGTCGGTATGGACCGTTGTTGAACTTCACTTACATTTTCTCTTTCTACGTTTTCATTCCTTGCTCTGTTTCTTCCTTCGTGTCTTTCACCATTGTTTCTTCTTCTGTTTTGTCTGGATCTTATAGGTGGTTGATTGGTTGAACTTTCTAGTTCAACTGTTGGATTTATTGTTTGTTTCGATCTCGTAGAAGGCGCAGGGTTGATCCTTTCTACGTCCTGGTTAACGGCTTGCGCTTCTGGCTGTGCCGGTAGTTGGTTACCGTTGTTAACAACACGTCTTCTTGCTTCACCACGTCTTCTTTGATTTTTTCTTGTAACTGGTTGGGCTGTTGTTGTCTCAGGTATTTGATATTCGGTGGTCTTTGGAGGTTCTTCATAAACCCTCTGCTGTTGCTGTTGCTGCTGTTGTTGTATTTGTTGTTGTTGTTGTTGTTGATGATGGGGTTCACTTCTTTGGCGGGAATGTTCTTTCGGTTTTCTTCTTGCAGCAGAGCGTGATTGTTCGCTTTCAGGATTAGGACAGTTCCACTTTGGTGGTCTCCCAAAATCGATGAAATGATTACCCTTTGCGTACTTGCTGTGGTATGACACGAGGTTTCGGGAGTCTAAAGGACCTATGGCCCAGATGATGGGTTGGGACTGGTTGGTATAGATTGCACGATCGAATCGATCATGGGGATGAAGGGTTCTTTGGTAAGTTACGATGGAATAGCCGTTTACCAATGCTGCATTCAAGACTCTGACGGTATCGGTTCCATCCTGTTGATAATTGGGTCAAAAAAAGGAAATATATTGATGTTTTTATCGATTTACCTGTAGTAATTGATCAGGACATGATCCCGTGTACCCTGCACATTGCGATTTGTCTCCAAGGTAATAGTCGTCAGCGTATCCCTTGAACGTTTCTTTGTTGACCCACGCCACCACCACGTCTCCCCCTATCATAATACTGGCATGGTCTTCTCCAGAAAGACCAAAAGACATGTACTCTCCGTCTTCTGCAAATCATAATCGCTCTCATTATCTCTTAGTAATAATCTTTTTTTCGGTAACTTTAAAAACGAATGAAAGGTTTATACTTTTTCTTGTCTTCTTCTTTCGTGTTTGCTAATCACCCACAGTAAATTAGCGTTACTAAGTGAAGGAGAGCCGGTTGAAATATAAAATTTTCATTAGATCCGCTTAATTTTAAGCAGAACGTAAGATTGCATCGTTAATAATAAATTTGCATTTACATCGGTCGCCTTTCAAAAAGTTTGTTGATTTTAATAAACCATGTCTTTCAACCATGAATATTTAAAAACATTAGATGCGGCAATTTTTTAAAGATATATTTCCTTTGAATTAATTAAAAATTATATCTACTATATTTTTACGGGAAATATCATATTTTATACTTCGTTTTTACGTCTAAATTTCTAAATGTATCGTAAATTTCTGAACCCTTCCTGCTTGGTCCTTTAGAAAGAGTGGAGAAAGCAGGTACTTAAAGTGTTTACAAATTGTATTTAAAGACATATTTCATTTCATATTCTGTGAAAGTTGCAAGCAATTAAAAGGGTCGGAAAACGACTTCAAGGTTTTCAATTACTATTTATTCACCTGAGGAAAATTTTAATTCATCGGCTCTGCGTTTAATTCGCATACTAATTAACCTGTTGGCATTTTAATTAATTTTTCGATAACGCGTTATTTTTGCAGTTTGTTTTTACTTTATTTATTTTACTTTTTATTCACTTTCGTCGTGGGACACAAACCGCAGGTCGTGGCTCTAATTAGCGACCGCCATTATCACTTTACATAACAAAATGATGCAAATTAGCTTTTAACGCTTCCACAAAGTGCACTAATTAGCGTTAAGACAAAAGAGGTTCAAATTCGTTTCTAATTGCACAAAGGTTGAGTTCTGTAATTGGTCGAGACAAAATTTTATGCTACAAATTCTGATTTCTAGACCTAGTAATTTCACGTTTTAATTAAATTCCAATAAATGCCAATGGTACTTGATGCTTTAATATTCCAATCGTTTCGTTATTGATTAATAAAGCACAATTAAAATTATTTGAGGGCTTAGTTATGTTGTGAGAGATTAATTTTCATGCACAGTAAAGTTCGCTTATAATAACTCCGCATATAATCACAATAACAGCTGAATAATTTGGTATTTATTTCGAATAATTCTGGCTAATGTGACCAGCCGTTTAAGGTAACATTCTGGATAAATAAATCTGCCAACTGTGACAAATTGCATTGACAAATATCAATGATAAATAGAAAATCCGTGTATTTAAATTTTATGTGTTGTCGTTTTATGTCTGCTTTTTATGACATCCGCTTACTACGTACATGATTGATATTTCAATTCGACGTAATCATCAGCGAACTTCACTGTGTTTTACTAGTACAAAGGAACGATTATTTGGTAATAATTGCATAGAAACGTACCCAATTTCGCCACAAGTTGTAAAACGATACTTTCACCTGCAACGGCCCAGCGTACTTCGAATGCTCTTTCGTCCAAGAGGATTTCGCAGTTAAGTTTACTCTTAAAAATAAAGATAG